TCATACTCAAAATGGTTTTTGTAACATATAAAATCTTGCCTGTTTTTGAGACAGCGTCTCTGCATAGACCAGGCTGGCCTCTAAATACATATAGAGAGATCTGCCACCATGTACCTCCCACGTGTTGTGGTCCACCGCACCAACTTCCTTCCTTGTGCTTTTGTGACATTTTCATTGAAACTTGGTCTAGCATGTTAAGACCTGTGATTCAATCAATAGCATTGAAAGCATACTGGGAGCCCCTTTCAGTTTCTCAGACTCTACTATATAGGAAAGACTAAGTTAGTGCGCTTCTCAAAGCTCTTAAAGGGTTCAGGACTCTTAACTTGATTTCTGCGTCTGGGTTGTGACCATCAAGAATAGAGTCGAAAGACAGGAAGCAGCTTTAAGTAAACTTGGAAATAAGTCAAATTAAAAGTTGGTTGAAGCCAGGCGGAGGTGGTGCATGCCTTTAATCCTGGCAAGTGGATCTCTGTGGTGTGAGTTTAGGGACAGCCTGGTCTACATAGAGAGTTCTAGGACATCCAGGGCTATACAGATAAACCCTATCTAAAAAAAAAAAAAACTAACAACAACAAAAAAATACCAAGTTGGTTGGAAACAGAAGATCCCGATCTTGATTTCCCATTAAAGGGAACTTGTGTGTTTTTGTTGGAGGAACTGATTTCGGGGGTGGAATTTGGGGCACAGGACAATTCTGTTGACTTCCGCAGTGTTTTAATCTTAAATATGCACAAATTCTCTATGCATTTATTTCAAACTTCTTTTGAAAAATACTTTGATGTATGAGTGCTCTATCGGATGTAGGTCTACATGTCAGAAGAGGGTATCAGATTCCAGTGTAGATGGTTATGAGCCACCATGTGATTGCTGGGAATTGAACTCAGGACCTCTGGAGGAGCAGTGTTTTTATCTCCTGAGCCATCTCTTCAGCCCCCCTATTTTAAATATCTTCTATTTTTCTCCCATGGCTAGGGAACCACATATTTCTTGCTACCTACACTTTATTATAGTGCCATAGGCCTTGAATTGTTGACAGTTTAAAATTATTAAAACTTTGTTTCCTTCTAGACTCCAAAAAACAAAGCCACCATCTTCAAGTTATGCAGCATCTGCCTCTACCTGCCACAGGAACAGCTCACCCACTGGGCAGTTGGCACCATAGAGGATCACCTCCGTCCTTACATGCCAGAGTAAATAAGAGCATTGACCAGCAGAATAGAGAAGACCAGAGAATGCAGCAGCGATTTTCTTTTCTTGTTTTCTTACCACTTTTCTTTCAGAGTTTAAAGAAAATGGACTCATGCACAGAACACTATGCATTTTGAAACTTGTTCATCCTGGATTTATTTTAATCATTTGTATCACAGAACTTTAAAAAAAAAATTAGATGTCTTCTGCACGGACTGTGTGAAAGAAGGTGCTTTGCAGGTTGCTGCACTGCATCGGCATCTTACTAAAATGTGAAGGAAGGACTATTGTACACTGAAATGCTTAATGTATCTGAAAGCACAGGTGATGCTCAGTGTTGTGGTCTTCATGTTTGTGCTGGTTTTTGCCTCTGACATCTGTCATCAGTATTGAGGGTGAGAGTGAATGTAACAGGTATAAATAACACTTAAAAACTTAATAGCTTTGCTATAATCACCGTTGTTCCAGAGCACTGTCAGATTCATTGTAATGACCAGAATGGTTGTTACAAAAAAATTACAACCATGGGAAAGAAATCTTGATGAAAAAAGCATCTCATTGAGGTATTTCTGCCTCGTGTGCACTGGGCCATGTTTGTTTTCTTGGTACTCATTAGTACATGTATTTTTTCCCAGATCTCTTTCCCCGAGTTGCTGTTATAGAGTACTCTGCTGTGTGCAGATGCATTTACACATTAAAGCAGATCTGGAGTCTGGTGTGGCTAATGCAGCTACAAAACCAAGGAACATTCATAGCTGCAAAAACCATCATAAGTAGAGGACTTTTTGGTTTTTGTTTTGTTTTTTGGTGTTAGAAATTTTAATTACAAATAAAAAAAAATCCAGTGAACTTTGCAGAAATACTGGTTTCTACACCATCCTAAAGAAGTTGAGTGTTTGGAATAGAAAAAAAAATTAAAAGTGGGGATCTTACATTGTAAAAACTACAGAGTGTCAAGTTCTGAAAGCAGAACTCATTTGTGCAATGAACATAAGGAAAGACTACTGTATAGGTTTTTTTTATTTTTATTTTTTGTTTTTTGTTTTTTTTTTAAATGAAGAAAAGCTTTGCTTAAGGGTTGCATACTTTTATTGGAGTAAATCAGAATGATCCTACTCCTTCGGAGTAAAACTAGTGCTTACTGGTTTCCATTTGTATTTAGCTTTTGGTTGGAATTTGGAAAAAAATGAAACCTAAATAAAATAGGTGAAAGCTTCCTGGCTATTCATATGAATATACAAAATTTGCAGTGATAACTTTTTTATCCCATGTCTCCGGTCACTTTGTTTATTCAGAAGAATTGGCAATTTCAAGTACAACAACCTAAGACAAAAAGTCAACTTAAGTAGTTTCCTGCCCATTTCATTAAAAAAAAAAAAAACTTATTTTGAAAGGACACTTTTATATGTTTTCTGATTAGTTAGAAGGTAGACTCAATTTGACACAACATTTTAAAGGTTTCTTAAGACCAAGCATTCCAGTATAACATATGAGCCGAGAAATTTGCTCAGGCTCCTGTAAGTAGAGGATCTGGTCTCTTAAAAATCATCTGTTAGACTGTTCAGCACATTAGACAATTAATTCATTTTTGTCCCAAAATAATTAAGGAAAGTTGGCAAGAACAATTACAGGATGTTGTGGTGTGACACAGTAAGGGTTTTGCCACTTTGTTTTGTTTTTTGAGACAGGGTTTCTTGGTGTAGCCTTAGCTGTCCAGGACTTGCTTTGTCAACCAGGCTGGCCTCAAGTTCAATTATCCTGCCTTTGCCTCCCTGAGTGCTGGGAGTAAAGGCGTGCACCACCACATCCGGCTGGTATTGCCACATTTTTCTCTTTGTACATTTGTACGTATTTACTGAACTGTTTGCATTTGTTGCACACAGGATTTATTTTTGCCCTTTGGTACTTGGGCCTCTGTTAAAAGTAAAGGATTTGGTGGTGATGGGTGTTAACTGGTTAAGCTATTTTATCGTACCATCACCAAGCTTCCAACATAACATACCATCCATGTTCTATTTCTGTTAAGTATCTCAAAAATTTTGGAGTTCGTGCTTAGATTGACTTTGTACTCTTCAGGTAAATATCCAGAAGCACATGCCATCTGCTTCTAAAGCTAATTTTGATTTCTGCAATGTGTACTTAATACTAGTGATTGAAGGCAAACTATGAAAATGCTCCCCTTTTTTTCCCCTTGAATTATGAATTTTAGTGCCCAACCAAGCAAATTTTTTTGAATTTTTTTCAACCTTATGTGTATAGCTGTTTTGCTCGAATGTATATCTGTATTACTTGCATGCAATGTCTGTGGAGGCCAAAAGAGGTGATTCCCCTGGGACTAGCTACTGTTGGGCTGTCATGTGAGTGCTGGAAGAGCAACTATAGAGCTCTCAATTGTTGCATTGTCTCCGGCCCCAGCCAATCTTGATGGTTAACAAAACATTTTTCAAATTACCCCTCAAGGTTTTTCAGTATTCTGTGCCCCTTGTCACATTTACTGGCCATCAACATGGTATTGGGCCCTTTCCACTATCCATAATATGTAATTTCTTCATCACTTCCACAGATAAATCACAGAACTTCCCTTTGTCCCAACCTCCAGCCCTGGAACCAGCACCTAAGGACAGTTCTAATTTTTGTGGGAAGTTATAGAAACCAAGATACAGATTTCCTGTTTGTCCACAGCTGAGGAGTCAATAGATCAAATATAGACAACTTTTTACCTTGAATATTTCAAGTCTACTGAAAGCTGCTTTCTGTCTTCCCATTCCAGTTTTAATGTTCAATGCAAATGGAAGCAAGCAAGAGTCCTAATTTTAGACACCTTTGAAAAATGCACTGATTTGCTAACCTTTAAGTACAGAAGCCTAGGAGATTCAAACGGGCTGATGATACTTCCTCTTGTTTTACAAGCTATGCCAAGCCCAGACATAACTAATGAGCAGAGAAAGCTATTTAGGCCATTTCTAGGATCAGGGGCTTTGCTCAAAATTTTAGGCTGTCAAAGGCTCTTTAATGTCCTACTATGACTGTGGTTTATCCACCTGGAAGTTTGATAATCCTGTCTCATAAAGGAAGTGGAAATGGGGCACAACATCTAGAACTGGAAAAGAAAATTTACTAAAGTGTTAGTATTGAAATGCCTGTGTCTCCTAAACTCCTATAGGCCTTCAGGTAATGGTTTTTGGAGGTGAAATCTGGGCGGTCCTCTGTGCTAACCTCATTTGCCCTTTGTCATGTGAAGAAGGCACTCTGTGAACTAAAAAGTGGTCCCACCAAAAACTACACTGGAAACTGACCTGCAGGCCATTTCTTTGGGTTTATATGATAGCCAGCCTGCAGTATTAACTGATATCTAGCAACTTATCTTTGTCCTTAATACTAGACTTCAGTTTTAGACTAATCTTAAAGTGGTTCTTCTAGCTTCTTTGCTTTACCTGTTATGAAAAACAACCTAGCCAGGCACACAGGTAACACCTGCCCATAATCCCTGCATTCAGAAGATTGTGAGTTCAAGACCATCATGGTGCTACAAAGCCAGACTCAAGCACCAAAACATTGAGCCAAGAACTCCCTCATCCAATTATCTGACTTAAGATGTTTCAAAAGAAAAAAAGACACTCCCTCCTGAGCATAGTGGGACATGCCTTTAGTCCCAGCACTCAAAGGAAGGCAGGTCTCGAGGCCAGCCTGGTCTATAAAGTGAGTTCCAGAACATCTAGAGACCCTACCTCAGAAGAAAAAATTAAGGACATGCCCAGCCAACATTTGGTTTCTTAGGGTTCTCTCCCCAAAAGAAAATACTTGCTTAGTTCTGATTTTGATAATTTATTTCAGAAAGTTGCTCACAAATCACACTCTTAGGGCATTGTTGGGCTTCTTCAGGTCACCCTGCTGTTTCTTCAGTTTCCCAGGTGTTTTGTGTGTCTGCCTTGTGCTATTAACTTTCCCGTGGACTTGTTGGTCAGATCCACTGAGGCAAATGCAAGTGTTCTTCCTTGCTTCAGAATATGTGCTGTGATCAGTATTTCTTCTCCTATTTTAGCAGGTGACATGTACCTTGAAAGAAAACAGGTTTAAACATAGTGGTAATTGTTGAAAGACTGTGATAAACTCCTACCAGCTTTCCTGGGTAACTAGACTACTGCTAGCAAGCTTTTAGGACCAAATTCAAATGGCTGGTCTGCATGCAGCCCTACCTGATCCATCCTTCATTTATCCATGTGTTCTTTTCACAACAATGGGATCTCCTTGCCTTTTTGTTTCATATTTATTTGAAACCACTGACTACCTTTAGCTTTCATGTAATCTGCTTAGCTTCCTAAGTGAAGTAGATGGGTGTATATAACTCAACAGACTTTATGCAACTTCAAAAGGTACAAGAATGACAAAGAGTGGTCTGGAGAGAGAGCCCAGCAGTTAAGAGGACTGGCTGCTCTAGAAGACCCAGCATATAGTACCCCACAACTCCCTGTAACTCCAGTTCCAGGGGATCTGGTGACTCTTCCAATCTCTGGCTCCTGTATGTATGTGGTGCACATACATGCAGTCTGATACATACATGTAAAAGAAAAAACAAAGTGGAGTGAATATGCAGTTTTTAGCCATCTAGGTAATGAACTGCATATAGAACTGTCCCTCTGCCCATGAGGATTGGTGTAGATACACCTGTCTATACCAAATCCATAAATGCTCAGGTCTCTTATATAAACTAAACATGCAAGTCAAGATCCACTTCACAAACAACTATATGGTTTTTTAGACTTTTACATTTGCATTTATTTCGTATGTGCTTGTGAAGGTCAGCAGAACACTTGAGTCAGTTTTCTCCTACTATGTGAGTTCCAGGGATCAGCCTCAAGTCAGCAGGTATGGCAGCAAGTGCTCTTACCAAGTGAACAGCTCCCTGGCCCGGTAAGTTGTTTCTGATGCTTACCATCCCTCCAGGCCCCTTTCTTACTTTAATTACACACGTACCTCTGTGTGGATATATACTATATACGTATCAGTGGCCAAGGGGCCCAGAGGTGTCGGGTCTCTCTGGACTGGAGTTGCAGGCAGTCTGCTTGGTGTGGGTGCTGGGAACTAAACTCAGGTCCTCTTCCAGACCGTTAAGCTCTTAACTGCTGAGCTCTCTCCAGCCTTTTTGTCCATTTAAAACAGAGTCCTCATGTAAAAATAGTCATCATCTGTGCTTGTTCACCAGACAAGGCAGAATAAGCACCACTGGAATATGGCTAATGAATGTAAACAGTCTCTTTTCTGTCAGTCTTGCCGTCTATATTTTGTCCTGTGATTTGCTTACCGAACACACAATTTATTCCCAGGCTTAAGAGAAACTGACAGGGTTCCAGGGGTTTTTGTTGTTGTTTGTTGTTATTGTTTTATGAAACTGGGTCTTGCTTTGTAGCCTAGGCTAACCTTGAGCTTCTTGCCCAAGTTCGGAGATTACAGACATGAGCCACCATGCCTAGCTTTAGAACTCAAGTTTCCATTTTGGAAAAGTGTTTTCTACAGGCCTCTCACAACAGCGACAGGCTGAGGTCTAAGGCACACACTGCTCCCAAACGTGTCATAGATAGTAGTAGTCATAGAGATTTCAGGGTCCCTGGCACCTGTGCTCACCTTGTTGCAAGATGTGGAAAATTGTCAATAACTTTTCTACAAATGTCATTCACACTTTTTTTGGTTCACGGTAGGAGTGGGAAACGGTTTCCTATAGCTGAGGCCGGCTTTGAACTCTTCTGATCTCCAGTCTTGGGATTATGCCACCACAGTGGGCTAATTAGTGGTACTTTTATGTTTTGATTTTGTTTTTGTTTTGTTCGGAAACCAATCAGCCTGGATGGAACTCCTAGAGGTTCACCTGCCTCTGCCTCCCATTGCTGGGAGTAAAGGTGCATCCTACCACACCTGGCACAAGTTACACTTTTGTTTCTTGAGATAGGATTTATTTGTGTAGCCTTGGCTATCCTGGAACTTGCTTTGCAGACCAGGCTGAACTTGAACTCAGAGCTCTGCCCACCTCTGCTGGGATCAAGGGAATTCTCCACCATGCCCTGCCTGGTTTACAAGTGATAGTTTTAAGGACTATATGGAAGTTATAAATCACGAGCTGAAACAACTGCAAACTGAAGATAACTGAAAATAAAAAGGCACACCTGTCCCCAAAATGTACAGATTTTTGCCATTATCCCCTGAGCAATACAGTATAAGTTATTTGAAATGAGTCTCCGCTTTTGAAAAGTCATCCGGAATGGCATCTGGATACGTACGTTATGTTCAAGTCAACACTAACTCCAGGTGCCCCTCTTTCTGTGCACATTAGAGCCATGGTTGATATGCAGTCTATCAAGGTTGCGGTCAAGCCTCCATGCAGAGTACCTATCTTGTTAGTATGCTCTTCTTCCACTTTCATTTCACAAATTACTTTTTCAGGGGCAGCAGAGACAACTGACACCTAAATATTACATGTGGAAAAAAAAAAAAAGGAAAAAAATTTGAACATTAATTCTGTGGTATCAGAATAGCTCAAAATACAAACAGCACAGCAAGAACAATATTTTTTTTTTTTCCCAAGACACGGTTTCTCTGTGTCTCCTTGGCTGTCCTGGAACTCATTAGAATGAGTCTATAGATAGACCAGCCTAGCCTTGGACTCACAGAGATTGCCTGCCTCTGTCTCCTGAGTGCTGGGATTAAAGATGTGCACCACCACTACCCAACTTGCAAGAACAATCTTGAAGGTGGAAGCTTGGCACCACACCTCTAATTCCAGCATGTGGGGTATAGAGGGAGGATTTACTGATTCAAGATGCCAGGGCTGCAATAGTGAGACCTTGCCAGGCAGTGGTTGCACATGCCTTTAATCCTAGTACTCAGGAGGCAGAGGCAGGTGGCTCTCTGTGAGTTCCAAGACAGCCAAAATTTACAGACAGAGAAAACCTGTCTCAAAAAACAGAAACAAACCCAAAAATAGATCTTTACAAGTAAGTATCTTATTTTAAATTATTGCTATGTGTATGTATGTCTATAAGTATGTACACATGGCATGTAAGTTCTGAGCCTAGAATAGGGTATAAGATGTCCTAGAGATAGAGTTACAAATACTTGTAAGCCAGCTAGCCAACCTGGGTGCTAGAAACCAAACTCAGTGCTGCAGCAAGAGTGGCATGTGGTTTTAAGAGCCATCTCTCCAGCGCCCCTAGTGAGATTTTTGTCCTTACTTAAAATTTAAAAAAAAAAAAAAAAAGTGATTGGGTATTTTGCCTGCATGTATGTCCAGCTCTGAGATACTGTCTTTAAAAAGTCATTTGAGGAAAGAGAATCTGCCTAAGAAAGGCAGACTCAGAAATCCAGGTGACCTGAGAAGCTAGTGGTAGAAATCAGCCATTGTACAAATTGTTTTTATTTCTATTCACGTATTGCTTCAAATTAGAACAGCTTCATTTTCTAGCTTAACCTCCGACAGAGTCCGATTTCCAGAGTGAAGTGTGACAGGAGTGTGCCCTCAGATTCCTGCCTGCCAACAGCTGGAGCTTTAAGTCTGGGTTCACGGCCTGGGAAAACTTGCATGCAGCTGGAGTCGGTGTGCCAGGGCTACCAGTTGGTTTTAGAGATGAGGGTGGGGGAGGAATGTTCAGGAAAAACTGTGTTTTTGGTACTCATCTTGCAGAGTTCATATCATTGGGCTGAGAGACAGCTCAGCAATTAAGAACACTTGGATACTCTTGCAAGAGGACCCAAGTTTCATTCCTGGCACCCACGAAACAGCTCACAAGAGCCTGCAACTCTAGTCCCAGAAGAGTTCTCTGGCCTCCATGAGCACCTCACAGGAAAATACATACATAAACGCCAAATAAATCTTAAAAAAAAAAAAAAATTCAGAGAGTTGTATGTACCAGAATTTCCTGATGTCTTCTCTAATATTTCATATTTAGTTTTGTGATTGAGTGTCTTGTGTGGGTCTGTGCGTCGTGAGTATGGTTGGTGCTCACGGAAGTGAGAAAAAGTCAGAATCCCTGCAACTGGGGTTATGGATGGCTGTGAGTCACCATGGAGCTGGGAACTAAACTGGGCCCTCTGCAAGAGCAGCAAGTGCTCTTAATGGCCGGGCCCTCCTAAGATCGTTTTGAATATTTGTCTTGAGACAGGGCCTCACTATGGAGTCCTGGCTGGCTTTGAATTCACCATCCTCTTGCCTCCGCCTCCTGAATATTAGGATCACAGGTCTGTATCACCAGGCCTGGTTCTTTGGACCTTTTCCATCAACCAACTTCCACAAACTGTCATCTCCTAATTACCTATAAAAGGTTTACACCAGGTGTTTTCTAGTTTTTATACAAGGGGAGGAATTAATGAATAGTTCAAAACAGCTTAAAAAACAAAAACAAAAAACAAGCTGGGAGACGTTCAATCATGCTAGAACTAGTAAGCTTAAATCAGAAACCCATTTAAACAGAAAAATAGAAGTGGAATAGAATCTAGCAAAGTTAAATTACTGTTTGAAGGCCCCACCACATTTCTAAAGTACAATGAAGACTATTCCACGGAAGATACAAACATGGAGAGTCAGCGTCCCTTCTGAAGTACTTTCAGAGGTCTGTCCCCGGTGGCAGGAGCGGTTTGTTTCCCTTCACCATTTCCTGCTGCGGGGGTTGCAGGTGTGTGGCACCATGAGGAGGCTTTCTTCCCTCCCTCGCTCTTTCCTCATATCACAGATTCGCTTGCAAGCAGTTCATGCACTGTGAACACCTTGTATTAACATATTTCACTATATTGAGGCCTTCTTTTTTCTTACAGGCCAAATTTATAATGACCTCTAATTTCCTTCTGAGCTTCCTGCCTCTGCCTTCTGAGTGCTGAGATTACAGCTGTGCCCCCGATGCCCAGCTCATACAGTCCTGCGGACTAAACCCAGGGTTTTGTGCATGCAAGGCATGCATTCTACCAATTGAGTTGTAAATAAATCCTTGGAACCCCGTTTTCTCCTTTTAAGGCTCTTGCTAAGAGCTGTAAAATCTTCAATCTCTTTGATGTGAATTTTTTTAGGGGTTCTTTTCTGCAGTCTTCGTCTCTTATTTCTTCAACTATGTATTCACTGGACTGCAGGAAAATTTCACCTCCAGTATTAAACTCACGGGACCTCTATAATACATATGTCTTGACAAAAATGTCACTAAATGATGCATAATTTCCATATGCTATGCAGATACCTTCTGTCTTGCTGATACATTCAGTGGTTCATTTTAGGGTCATTTCATATATGACAGACCTGAGACTTTGCTGTAGGTCTGCTATCTCCATGAACCACCCCCCCCATCACTAATATTTTAATTATTGAGACAGGGTGAACCTCCTCTCCGCCCACCCCCGCTTCTACCTTGTGAGTGCTGGGGTTATAGGCACACTCTACCATGCGTGACATAAAATTAGGGGATATGTAGCAGCCTTTAGGCTTCTGAGTCACAGCTACAGCTTTAGTGCTTCTACTGGTTTTTATCCTACAAAAGGCCACGAGGAGGAATGTAATAATACTCCCCTGAAACAATATAAGCCACCTCAAACACTGCTGTGTTTTACACAACAGGCAAATCAATAGGGAAAACAACAACAAAAAGTCAGAGCGGCCTGTTTGCAGCAATAAACGGTCTGGCCACAAGGTGTCCTCACAAACCAATAGTGCATAGCAGGGAGGCTCACAATGTAGCCCAGGGCCTTATGTAAGCTACCTAAGTATTCTATCACTGAGCCACAGCCAACATAAGTCTTTAAATCAAGGGTAGGCAGAGCGAAAGGAAGGAGTTGCATTTTTGTTTAGGTATCAGGTCTCAAGTAGTCAGAGCTGAGGATGGCCTTGAACTCTTGACCCTCTTTGTCTACCTCCCTCCAAATGTGCCAGCACCCTAGATACATGAGTGTTTTTAGAGAGCTCAGTCTGAAGTCAGGTACATAAAACAGCAGTGGAGGTGGCTACTGTTGACAGAATTAATGTAGGTTTGCTTCCACACCTCCCTCCTTTTTGTTCTTTTAGAGGAGGTCTTAATGTGTACCTCAGGCTGCCTTCAAAGTCAAGATCATCTTTCAGCCTCCCGCGTTGAGATCACAGGTGTGTGCCACCCTGACCAGTTCCACACAGGTTCCTTGAAGTGGATACTTTTAAAGTACAGTTAGCTTTTATATCCCTGTTTTACTATAACTCACTTTCAAAGCCACGTTCTTATAAGGAGGAACTAGGAAAGGATTACAGGAAAATGATACCTGAAATTCTTATACAGGTCAGTTAGGAAAGATAGGAAAAAACCAGACAGGTTAAGAAACATGAGAGCCACGTGGACGCCAAAAGGAGTTCTCCGAGGCTTGTTTATTTTGTTTGTTTCATTTTTTATTTATTTTTATTAATTTATTCACTTTGTAACCCAGCTGTAGCCCCCTCCCTCGTCCCCTGCCAATCCTGTCCTCCCTCCTTCTTCTCCTCCCCTGCCCCGCCCCCAGTCCACTGACAGGGGAGGTCCTCCTCCCCTTCCATCTGAGCCTAGCCTATCAGGTCTCATCAGGACTGTCTGCATTGTCTTCCTCTGTGGCCTGGTAAGACTGCTCCCTCCTACACCCCCCTTCGTCTCAGGGGGAGGTGATCAAAGGAGGCTCCGTGTTTTTAAAGTTCTATTTTCTCATTTGACTGTGTGCATTTGCCAGAGGGCGTGTAGACATAGAGGACACTTGCAGGCTGGTTTTGTCTTTCTACTACATATTCTCCTCACTGCTGAGCGGCCTTGCTCACTCCTTAAAAGTTCCCTTTCACTTTTAATCCCAGCACTCAGGAGGGATCTCTGTGAGTTCCAGGCCCGCCTGGTCTACAAAGTGAGTTTTAGGCCAGCCAAAGCTACACAGAGAAACCTTGTCTCTAGGAAGCAGAAAATAAAGAAAGAAAAAAATTCCCTTTGATTCTGGAACTTTGATTTGGCTAAGATTTGGCTAAAAAAGCAAGGTGAATGCCATTTTCTACTACAGAACTTAGCTTCATTAATTTTAAGACAGGGTTTTGATGTTTGCTTGTTTGCTTTTAGATGGGTTTTTATTATATAGTCCGAGCTGCACCGGGATGGTAACAGAGCCCCTGCCTCAACGTGGCGCCTGTCTGTTCCATTCCCAATTTTCCAGGAGTTGAATGACTTCAGTAGGCTGGCATGAACTCAGCCATCTCTGACACACTGAACTCCTCAGGTATCAAAAACATTGTTTTAGCTGGGCTTTGATGTGAATACCATTAATCCCAACACATTAATCTCAGGAGGCTGAGGCAGGTAGAATTGTGAGTTTATGGCCAGCCTCGGCTATACAATAAGACCCCTGTCTCAAAAAAAAAAAAAAAAAAAAAAGAGAGAGAGAGAGAGAGAGAGAGAAGAAAAGAAAAAAGAAGCACACAGAATCTTCTGTTCTTTCTATGTGGCCTTCAATGTG